GATGAAGATTTTAGGGTTAAATTACGTTTAATCACATAATATTTGGAGGCACTGTAATGATTTCTACGTGAGATACAATGGCTTATTTACCGAGAGTTAGCCAGCAAGAGGAATTTACCAAGGCCTGTACTAGGAAATGTAAATAAGTAAACAGAAGTGCTTGCGTGGAGAGAACTTGTGTTCTCCCGCTTCAAGACGGACGTTGGGAACGGTAGGTAAATGTGTTTGTATGCAATATGTTCACATCAAAAAAGAACTTTGAGTGAAGCATGAAAAATATATATAGTCTACATTGTGTGTTTACATCATTCATACTTATTGATATCATTCACAGTTCCCTACTGTTAAAATTCTTCTCACCAATTGTACAGATGAGACACATATGAAAGATTAAAAATGCTAAGATTACTGAAAAGTTCATAAAGAACGAGAGCACAAGTCAATGGTCCCTTAACTGGGTCATAGGATTCTTGCTAGCTTTCTGTTATGTGTTGAGTGGAACAAACGTGTTTGAATAAAGTGCTACTCACTCAAATGTGGCAGACAAGGGAGAATATTAGTAAACAAACAAATACATACTTTAATGAAAGATATTAGATGGGGTGTAAATCGTTATAGACACATGATATTTATTTATATCATAGACAAGAGATAGATGATAAATAGGTGATATATCTATAATAGATAAAATGATAGTAAGTTTATGGTGTTATATGGGTAATAAATAAATGAATGATCACTAATGAATATATATATATATATGTGATAGGTAATAGTATAAACATATATATATATATAATCATAGATAAATTGATTAACATCATCATCAGTTTAAATAGAACCCCCCCCCCATAGGGCACATTTGTCCTTTTTTTTCTGTTCACCCTCTGAAATGAGAAGGTTTCAAGTACTGATATATTCACTTGTGAGGAAAAAGGGACATTATAGTTGCATACCAAGAACTGCACAAAATGCAAAAACACTTTCTCTGAGTTAATGTCTAACCTGTGACCAAATGGAAATGCCCATCAGACTGTTAAGCACACATGCCTGGGAGGATAAGAGGTTGAAAATCCATTACAGTTACTACGTGGAAGTATCTAGGTAATTAGTTAGCATTGATGGATTAGCGATGTCTTACAGACACATTCTATTTCTGATGGTGGGTATACTCTTGGCACTTGAAATTGCTATAGTTTGTTATACTTGTTATCAAAAGCTATAATTATTTAGACCCAAATCTCATTAAAGACATGTTTAATTTAGGTACTTGCTGAGTATTTAAAGATGTGATATTTTTGTTTTCTAATACAATACATTGGCATGATAAATTTTTAAAATCACAATTCACACTTTGACTGATTATCTGTTTAAAATTTCTGAGGATCAATATTAAATATTATAAACATCAATACTATACATGTAATCATACAAAAGTTCGAATATGTATTGTTCAACAGTAAGGTTGCTTTTTAAGGCGTTGAAAAGTGTATTTAACACTACAAATTTTTACATTTGCTAATACTTGCCTTCTCTATAACCTCTGACATTTGGGTTCAAGTCAATCATTCAGTGTCTCACTGACAGGGCCACGACATTAAACATCCTCTATCCATCACCCTTACTAATCGCCCCACCACGAGCACACTCCTCATGATTGACCAGTTCCTAACCCACCTCTTTCTATCCCTGTCCTGCTGGTAGTAAATCCTCTCACCAGCTAATTGAATGAGTGCACCTGGCGCTGCAATGTGAAAACAAAGCCTTTAACTGAGAGCTGTGCTTTGTTCTGCTCAGGACTGTAAGGTCAGTCCAGCTCCTTCCAGCTGTGGTGAGGATCTTAATTTTTGCTCGTCCAACTTACTTGCAGCTGTTATTCTTTCCAATATTAAAAGTTCAGCTTCTCGAGTGGAAGGAATTAAGAAAGAAGGGAAAGTAAAGCGCTTCTTGCAAACCAAAAGCACAAAAAGCAAGTAAAATCTGGCTTGGCTCTGAAGTACAAGAAGTTATTTTCAAAGCCCATAAATTATGACATAGTGCTTAACATGTAATTTAAATATATTTAAGCAACAATTATATCACATTTCCAGCCCAGCTAATTGGCCTCACAGATGTTCCCTTGGAACTGTATTGCCCTTCCGTGGGGGAAATGAATGGTGTGCTTTTTATCATGGAAACCAGAGAAAAAAGCAAACCGAAAGAAAAATGGAAACAGAAACATAAAAAGCAGCCAGTACCCCTAAAAACAATGAACACTAAGGGTTTTGTATAGAACTTGTTTTCATTTTAATGCAGAAAACGGGAAGAAGAAAAACAGTGTGAAGACACTCCAGGACTGTGATGCTGCTTGGTGGTGTGTAGAGAGGGGGCTGGCAGGTTGCTGATGGAGAGACCTGTCAAAGCAGGGACAGGGGATGCATTCTATCAGAGTCTCTCGCTTCCTGTCTCAGAACAAGCTTACGGCAATGTCCAGCTTTTTGCGGTATACCACCTTTACAGCTGAAGGCATTCTATCCCAGATAATGAAGACAGATAATTAACTGTTCCCTCATTGAGAATGGCTTGTGAGTTAGTCCTTTGATTATTCATCTTTCAAGTTCTAAAAAATATACCAAATGTACGATTAACACTAGCTATAGCTGTGATTCAAATTGAGCTTTATACAGTACAGACATTTTGTTAAGTAAGAGGTCAAAGGAACACATGGTAACTCCTAGTGTTTTAGAATCCGTTGCCTTCTGATATGTAACTGCAGACATGGAATGAACTCACTCCAACAGCATCATTCTTTTGTGCCTTGTTTTGTTTCTACTTCCGTAATCTCAGGCAATATTGATAGTTCAGTATGAATCCCAAAAGGTCAGTCAGTGTCCACATCTCTTCCAGTGTACCATAGTATTTCTATCATCTAGCAGTGACCAGTCATTTTATTGTTAAGATTTAATTAATATGTGCTAAATACTTGCTAATTAATCACGGCTTATGATAAGTCTGGGGTCTGAAATGTTGTAACACTAATTCAGGCAGTTCTCACATTTTATTTGTGCTACCCCACAATTTTACAAATCACTGAACTATATAAAATATTCCAGTCTCAAATATTATGAACAACCAGAATTGATTTTCTGTCTTTATAAAGGACAGCACATCTGCCTGTATTTGTGATGACTGGAAAACAAATAAGCATTAAAAATGCATCTTTAACAGATACCTTTGACAGGGCTGCTTGGTTTAAGAACTCTGATTAGCTGACATGTCTACATACATGTTAGATATGAATATATTTATATACTACTGCAGCACGTAATTTGTCATTCCACAGAATAAAGTAGAAAATGAGGATGAAACGGGGGGTCTGATTTATTTTACAATTGAAAATGTGTGATTAGACCTGAAGCCTACAATTTCTAACAGGACAAAATAATATGTGTGTTGTGTAATAACAACTCCTCCGCATTGAGTCTTAAATGTATCTATAAAATAATGCCTGTAAACTGCAAAGGAGAGCAAGAAAATATGAAGCATATACACAATTGAATACTATTTGACTATAAAAATAGGTGAGAGCTTATCATTTGAAAAGATATAGATGGACATAGAAATCTTATTCTCAGTGAAATGGCAGGCACAGACTGACAAATTCCTCATGGCCTCAATGACCCCTATGTGCAGTTAGAGAAGGAAATGAACTTTCCTCTCCGTGCTTTCACAACTCTAGGGTGCAATGCAGTATAAATTCACTGTAGGACTTCTTCTTTGATCAGTCTGGAAAACTGCATTTGTGAAGTAAAATTGCGTTCTCCAGTTGCTATTGATTTACATTAAATAGTTATTATTCATAGAACAATCTTTTGAGATTGATTTATAAATTTCTACATTGTAAGAACATTGATGTGAGATGATAGGTGTTTTATATAAATGATAGAGGTGGCTGGAAGGTATCTTTGGTCATCTCTGTTGACTTACGGTCAGATGTAGAGAGCTGCATCACAAACACAGCTACTTCTGCCTGCTTTACTCCCTATCATCAATACCAGAAAAGCAGAGAAAGTCTCACCACAGGAAAAGCTGTACTCGCTTAGTGTTTTTAATAGTGAGTGAGTATATGGGAATGTATTTATATTAAGGGATTCACACAGCCATCCCTCGTCCCACTCCTAAGGAACTGTGTCCTTAACAGTTTACCACATTTTACCTTCACTTTCATATAGCTTAAAGGATAAACTATTAAGTTATAAAAATAAAGACTTTTTAGTTGCCAAAACCTGGTTGTGAGTCTGACTACATAAGAGGAACAGAAAGTGTATGTTCACTCACAAATTTATTTTTCAAGTTATCTTCTTTTCTTCCTTTTTAAGAAGTAAGGTAGAAGATATGAGAGTGTGTGGTTTTTTAAATAAGGAGAGAGTGAGTAGTCTTTGCTGCAGTGGTGAAAATAAATGTAGCTTAATAAAAACTATTTCAGACACACTGAAATCTACTGTCTGTCTCCTTCTAACCCTCTTCCCCTTTTCTTCTTGTAAGGAAACAAGGTGGGTTTTTTTGCTGTTTTTTGTTTTTTATTTTGTTGTTGTTTTGTGATGATTCTAAATAGTGTGAAGCTATTTTGGTCTTTTTGACATATCCAATAATAAACTTTTTTTTAAATTTTAAAACACAGTTTCATTATTTCTGGTTTCCTCCCACCACATCCCATCTTCTATGGTTAATCTGAAAAAATGAAAGTTCTTTTGCCAGTCTTATTTTCTTTTAAATCATTAAAAAAAAAAACTTTTCTTTTTTCACTGTGATTTTCTTTGTCTGGAGCAGAATTAGTGTTTAAATTTGCCAGCTTTTGGTGAGAATGAACAAAATTTGACAATGTAGGAAAACCACTGTTGTGCACTTTCCCCTATGGCTCATAAAAACCGTATCTTTTCTTTCTCTTTTCTTTTTTTTTTAAAATTTTCATCCATGTTGCCTCTTATTATATCCATCATTCCATTTTTCTTTTCTATTAGAGTGAAATTGGACACAGCCCTCCTCCTGCCTACACCCCCATGTCGGGAGTAAGTATTTCACGATCAGCCTTCATCGTTTAGGATTTTTGGTCTTCTCTTAACCATGTTTCTTCTCTTGTCTCCCTATAATTTCCTCATTTTTGCCTTTGCCAACAGTGAGTTAGTCAAGAATTGCCAATAGATCCTGTAGTTGCCTGTGTAGATGTCTGTATCTCGGGTGACAATCTGCAGCTGAGACAGCATACATCAACAGGAGCTTTCAATATTTATTGGAGGGATTTACTAAGTTCATGGATTATGCTTCTGAGTCAGGATTTTATCTTCAGTCTCATGACGGGAGGTCATGTGCTGTAAAGTTTGAGTCTCAATGACTGTCCATTACTAGGTACTGGATACTCAAAGTCAGAGGACCCACAGGGAGGGAGGTAATATTAATAACATTAGCACATTGCCATTTATGATGTTTCAATGTACTTCTGCACTTAAGAATATTTGTCTTGAAAATTTACCTTGAGTTTCATAACAAAATCAGGCAACTGTAGAAAAGCAGCAGAAACTCTTTTTATTAGATCACACTCTAGTTACTTAGTAAATCTAAAAATCAAAATTTTAAATTATTTCCACTTGATTATTACTTATTAAGAAAAAGTCAGGATGGAGAAGGTGTTCAGAAGATGGTTTAGTTGAAAATCGCTTGCAGTGCAAGCATTATGATTCGAGTTGGAATCCCACACGCACATGAAGAGCTGGACATTGGAGTTCCACACTAGGAAGGTGCAGAAATGATATTTTGAGGGCTTCTTGGCCACCAGGATAGGCAAATTGATGAGTTCCAGGTTAAGTGAAAGACTCTGTCTCAAGAATTAAGGAAGAGGGATATAAAGGAAGACACCCATCATGGACCTCTGATCACCACCACGTTCATGTATATCTACACTCACACATACATGCACATGAATGTGTGTGTGTGTGTGTATGCACACAGAAAAAAAGTAGAATTTTAAATGTTTCTAGCATTTACCTCAAACTCATTAGCCACCTAGGAAAATAAAAATTTTTAATAACTAAACCTGAAAGAAAATGTGCTTGGTACTTAATTTGGCTAATATTATTCAGTATCCTTTTACAATTTTTCCTAACCACTGATCCTCCCAATGTGTTTTTGCTATTTTAACAGAACCAGTTTGTGTACCAGGATGGGGGCTTTGCTACACAACAAGGAATAGCCATGCCCTATAGAGCCACAACCAACACCATACCAGAAGCTCCAGTCGCTCAGGGGGCAACAGCCGAGATGTTTGATGATTCCCGCTGTAATGGTACCCTACGCAAGCCAGTGGCACCCCATGTCCAAGAGGACAACAGCGCGCAGAGGTACAGTGCTGACCCCACAGTGTTTGCCCCAGAACGGACCCCACGAGGAGAACTGGATGAAGAAGGCTACATGACTCCCATGCGTGACAAGCCCAAACCAGGTACATGCTGAATGTTCAGAAGTGATTGCACTCATTGATCACCTTCATCAGACAAGCAGGAGCTAGAAGTCACGTGCCCAGACAACCCAAAGGTGTAACATTTGCGATCTATAATAGAATATGTCCAGGCTACAACTATTACAGAGGAGTTTTCTGAATCAGTATCATCTCTGTACCTGAGTACTTTTTAAAATGGGCAGAATTTCAGGCTCCACCTAAACACGAAATTGGATTTTTTACAAAATCCTCAAGTGATGTAGGAGCACGGTGAAACCTGAGAGCACCAACCTAAATCCATCTTTTTTGGAAGAGTTGAGTGACATAACATGATGCTACAGGGCCTTGGGACTACTGCATGTTTACCGTGGAGGTTGCAAATTTTCAGACATCAACAATAAAACAGTTAACTTATTTCAAACATGCAATTTCACTAACCTAACTTAGGGTTAGAGTTTTGAATCATTATAGAACACTAACACATAAGAACTTAGATTTAGACTGACCCTAGTATCACAAAAGGTAACTCAGTTCATCACAGGAAACTATAATTTTGTGAGCATTTCTTCAGAAACAAAATTTGAATCTGGTTGTACTTACAAACACCACTGTCTTGAAGATAGTTTGTGAATTAATGGCTTTGTAAAACTTAAACATATAAAGGTTAAACAGCCCCATTAAGTAATATTTCAGTTTTGAAACTAAAAAAAAAAAAAAAAACCCTCTTTCCTCTTATGCTAGCAGTACCTCAAAACAGAGACAAAGAATAATTGTTATTGAAAATAGTGACCATGATGTCTGTCAGCATGAGCAGAAGGCCATATGTTAAGACCATGTAAAATCCCATTATGTCATCTTTATATGGCTCTGTTCACTTTCTATGAAACACAGGTCACTGATCCCTGGATACGTAATGTAAATGATCCAGCATAATATAATAAAGATTTTGATGACTATCATGCAGAATAGATTAGGATGATAGCTGGATGATAGATGATAGATAGATAGATAGATAGATAGAGAGAGAGATAGAAGACAGAGGTAAGGGAGAGAGATGAGAGGGAAAGAGACAGAGAGAGAGAGAGAGAGAGAGAGAGAGAGAGAGAGGTGAAGATAATTGTACAAAGGGTATTTTTGGCAAGATTTTAATTTGATTTAAATGTATGTGTGCGCTTGAGTCTGTGCACATGTGTGTGTCTATCTGTACCTATGTTCACAAGTGTTTTGGTTCCCATGGAGGTCAGAAGGGGGCATCAAATCCCCAGAGGGAGAGTTCCCAGTGCTTGTGAGAGCCTAATATGGATCCTGGGAAACAAACTCCGGCCTTTTTGTATAAACTGCAAGTACTATGCCATTGAACCATTTCCCCAGCCCCACAAAGAGTACTGAACCCTATGGGTCCCACTTACACAGCTGACACCATATGTAGGTGCATTTGGAAGAGAAGAACAATCTAGAGTTTTGGGATTCTGATCTTGTCTTATTTTGCTAACTTTTAATAACTATTTTGTCTTGTTTGAGCATACTCACTTTTCTCATGCCTGTCCCAATCTTACAGGAAGGCTTTGTTTTGTTTTGAGAAATTATGAAAACAAATTTGTAGCTTACTTGTTCTAAAACCCTAACTTTTGCAGCCGGATTAACGACTTTCTGAAAGTAGATCTCTATTAGATGGCATTTATTTATTATTTTTTTTTTTGTATTCTTTTAGAATATCTGAATCCTGTGGAAGAAAACCCTTTTGTGTCAAGGAGAAAAAATGGAGACCTTCAAGCTTTAGATAACCCAGAATATCACAGTGCTTCCAGCGGTCCGCCCAAGGCTGAGGATGAATATGTGAATGAGCCACTCTATCTCAACACTTTCGCCAACGCCTTGGGGAACGCAGAGTACCTGAAGAACAGCGTACTGTCTGTGCCCGAGAAAGCCAAGAAAGCATTCGACAACCCCGACTACTGGAACCACAGCCTGCCACCCCGGAGCACGCTTCAGCACCCAGACTACCTGCAGGAATACAGCACAAAATATTTTTATAAACAGAACGGACGGATCCGCCCTATTGTGGCAGAAAATCCTGAGTACCTCTCTGAGTTCTCGCTGAAGCCAGGCACCATGCTGCCGCCTCCGCCCTACAGACACCGGAATACTGTGGTGTGAGCTCAGCTGGGGTCTTCGGAGGAGAGACACGCCCACTCCATCTCCCTTCCTGCCCCCTTCCCCAACTTCCTCCTTTTTCTCTGGTGGTCTTCCTTCTCCCAAGGCCAGTAGTTTTGACACTTCCTAATGGAAGATATAGAGACGCAATGATAGTTCTATGCTTACCTAACTTGAACATTAGAAGGAAAGACTGAAGGAGAAAGAGAGGAGGACACACACTGTTTCTTCGTTTCTTCATATGGATTGGTCAGCAGTGTCCGAGCTAGAGAAAGACTAGGATGTATAGGGTTATACTGCCTGCTAAGAGTCCCAGCTTCGTTCCCTTTGCACTCTTTCTCTCTCCCTCTTTCTTCCTTCCCTTTCTTCTATCAATGCAGGTGATTGAAAGCCCAGTCTCAATTCTCATCTGCAACCATAGACTTGTGCATATTCAGCATCTCTAAATTCATATGAAAGCTTCCATTAGAACAAAGGGGTAAACATTTGGATGCCACTTGATAGTAACTGAGATTGAGGAGCCAATTTCTTTCTCCAATAGCTTCTTTCCTGGCAAGTAAGAATGTCCAACCCAGCTTTCATAATTTTTAAATCTCCATTATAGTTATAACTAGTAATTATGTTTAGAAGGCCTCTCTGGTGTTCTCATTTTGGTTTGCTTTGGCCTGTTCCTTTATATTAATTTCTCGCCTATTTTTGGCTGTAGTTTCTAGTTGCAAAGATATTTACATAAAAGCTTCTTGACAGAGTTAAAACACACACACACACACACACACACACACACGAATTATATAATGTAGAGGCCAAGACACTAGTAAAAATAGCATCAAATCTAAGTTTCCTGTTTCACCCTACTAAATTTATTTTTCCCTCTCATTTTTCATTCTTTAGTATTTTATTCTTCGCCATAAATGACTGTCTTTGATGGACAGTGGCAATCTTAAGAGTAGAAGGGACGCTAAGAAACAGTTCTGTGTGGTTCACAAAAACAACTGATACTTTCAGGGGTGGTCCCACGGGGATCCATGCAGTGGAAGAAGCACTGGATTGGGTACGTCTACATGGAAGGTACTCAGAAATGTAGTTTGCACTTAAGCTCAAACTTGATTTTCTGAACTCCTCTTTGGATTTTGAATGAAGCAATATGGAAGCAACCAGCAGATTAACTAATTTAAGTACATTTTTTTTTTAAAAAAGGATCTAAGATAAATACAGACTGGAAATGCCAAACAAGCCAACTAGGACTTTGGAACAGTACCCAGGGATTGTGGTGACAGGGCCAGCACATTATCTTCATAGTACATGACATTTGCTGTGTGAGGAAGTATGTTAAGTTTGTACTCTCTGTGTGAAGGAATGCAAGTTACGGTCTGGCTTGAATTCCATGGAATTTCTAGTATGAAACTCTGTTTATATTGAGTAGAAGGTAACTTAACTCTTCACACCTAAGTTGCTATGATTAAAAATAAACCATAAACATTTGAAGCCTATGAACAGCTCCACCATTAAGTTAAAGGTTGTAAATAAACATGAAAACCCTTCTCATGGAATCATTTTATTACCCAGTACATCACTCATGTAATAAGTTATGTAATGATTCTTCATATACTACCATAAGATGTCCTGGTTGTAGAACCATCTCTTTTAGGTTTCATTTTAAATAACACCTGTGACATTAAGATGAATGATGGGAAAAATTACAAATGAATCTCTAGTGAATAAGAACGTTTAATACATTGCTCTTTTCTACAAAATTCTTCTCCAAGACATTTAAATTTTTAAATGTTTCTTTCTACTATTATTTTATTAAGAGAAAATTAGACTCACTAGCCTAAAAAAAGTTGAGTTAGATTATGAATCTTTTTGGTCAGACAGCGAGTGCTTAAGAGAGAAAAGTTTTCAAGGATGCTTGTGTTCCCACCTATTTCAGAAATGTAAATCCATTCATCCAAATCTAGATTTATTCAATAGATATGAGTTTAAAGTCTACTAAAAGGGGGGAGCAGTAAGATAAATGATAAATCATCGCTGACTTCAAATTTTGTTTAGATTTATTTGCAGTGACATTCTATTTCTCCAGGAGTCCGAGGAACCAGGTCACATTAACTATTTGTGAATTACTTCACAGAAAGGATTTTGGTAAATGTTCTGAAAACTCATTGGGATGTAAGTTAAAGATCCTTTATACTGCTGAAGATGACAAACCAATCAGTTCTACGTTCTCATCCAGACACAGACTAGACTAGAAAAACATCGCATCACTGGCAAACTGACATAGCTGGAGTCTTACTGTGAAATCAGCAGCAAGAGGTGATCTTTGGCCCAAACCCTTAAATGTGTTGGTCTTGGCCTCTTCTTAAGCTAAGAGAAGTGAAGCAAACTGAAAGTGGAAGGGAGAGACAGGAGAAGGGTTTATGAGATCTTGCCTATGAAGTCTTCACCATGAACTTACTCCAGATAAAGACACAGCATAATACAAGGGCCCCAGCTTTAGAGCCCAAAGTTCTCCCAACCCCATTCAGAAGCATCTACAAGAAAAGGGACTTTCTATAGGTCCCTATCACCTTTGAAGAGTTGAAAGTAAGCCTCTGTCAGTAGATAAATGCCTACCCATTCATTTTGGCAGCACTCTTGGACTGCTATGATGATCTTTTATCTTCATTTATCATATTGGTTTGGCTTCTAGTGAGAGTAAGAAGACAGAATCTTTTAATTTGTAAAAGGAACAAGATTGTCTCTGAACTGTTAAAGCAACGGAAACAGAGTGAATGCTATCTCTTTCCTCCTCAAAAGCACAAGATACTCAGGTCCCACTGGGGATAGATGCAGGTGAAACCAAGAACGGCCGCAAATGCCATTTTATCATTCCTGTTTATGACTTTCTAATATATGATTGATTTCAGTTGTTCTGGTCTTTCTGATTTGTTTTAGTTTTGACCATCTACGGGGAAAATTTTTCAAGAGTGGGTTAAAGGGACAACATGCAGGGATAGCAGGGAGGCTTTTGTTGACACAGGAGATAACTTGTTTAACCCAGTAAACTGGCATCGAATGTTGCTGGTTAAAGCCTACAAATTGCTGTGGAACATGAGATGCTCGTCATCACCAGCACCAATTAAAATATGCAGAATCAATTTGTAACACTGAGTAAAATTAATGTTAAAATTAAGCTTGCTATATTGTGTGAATCATCAAAGTGTAGTGATCATGCTTATCTCGGGAAATCCAACTTTCAGGCAGGGTATTTTTTTTTTTTTTTTGTAAAATAGTCATTTAAAGAAGTCATTCTTAAACAGAGGAGCAACGATGTCCTCTAAGTCAGGAGAGGTCCAGAGTCCTAACATGTTGCCAGTCAAGCAAGGTTGAGATAAAAAACTACTCCTGGTTTTCTGAATTACATTAGTATCGTATGTTAGAATGTGGTTCTCTCTAGACACATTTTTGAGACAGTGTGAAAACACAGCAAATTTTAAACTATTAAAAACACAAAACTAAAAAAGGTCAGAGACTTACTAAGAGACTCTGTTTTGTAAGTCAGGAAGGATGACTGACCGACTCTCACGTGAAAGAAGAAACGGAGCAGCTTCCAAGACAGTCATTGCCACATGCTATACCTATGAGAGTGGCACATATTGTCCATGGTGGGAAAAGAACAGGTGAAGGACATGAGGCTTTGATGATAGATGAAGTTGGTAGATGATCAGTGTGCTTCCCGAAGTGTCATAACTAGAAAGAAAAAACAAGTTTTTATGCCTGACACAGAAGAATGTAAATACAAGATTCTTTTGAATAGTCTAACCTTTATTTTAAAATGAGAATTCTTTATCCATCTGTAATTCTTGATTTTTTTAACTAGTAAATGTAGTTCACAAGGTAATAATAATAATAAAAAAAAAAGATGACCACTAAAGCATGTGTATAACTGGATACGATCATGACAATGCCATAAGACGTAGTATTAGTTAGGTCATCAAATGTTAAATGCTTTTAGGATTAAGAAGAAATCAAACTAGAAAATTAATCATACAGTATAAAATAACAAAATAAAATTCAGGCTATGAAAGCATAGGGTGGGTTTTGCATAGTAAATAAAACTAAGTTTGCCATTTGAAATGGTTGTTGGTTGGGTGTAGCAGATAGTAGACATAGTGTGGTTTCAATTGTGAAAACTTGCTTTACAGCACTATGGTCCATTTTCTTCTTGTTCTCCTATTCCTTCATCACATTTTTTTTTTTTTTGGTTTTTCGAGACAGGGTTTCTCTGTGGCTTTGGAGCCTGTCCTGGAACTAGCTCTGTAGACCAGGCTGGTCTCTAACTCACAGAGATCCCCCTGCCTCTGCCTCCCGAGTGCTGGGATTAAAGGCGTGCGCCACCACCGCCCGGCTCCTTCATCACATTTTAAGTGTGTTAAGTATGAAGAGGATACAGAAAGGGCTTACTTTTTAGGCATCTAATTGAAGTGCTTTAACAGGAAAATAAACCACATGTGAGGATAAGAGAGCTTCCAGATGAGGAAAGTAAATGGAAAAGGTATAGATTACCTTTTGCAGATGCTAACCGAATAACAAAATGAGTTATCTTTTAGAAAGCAAACACAGCACATTTAATTTGTAACATGTCTGTTCTTTTCCCACCCTAACTTCTTGCCTACATAATTAATATGGAACCCACTACCAATTATTTTCCTTCTTTTTTGATAAATACATGCTAAAGCAAGGATCTTAAACTGCTAAATGGGTGTTCTTTTGGACTCTAGATTTTTAGAGGCAAATGAGAAATCCAAAAGCATATAGCTACTACCAGTTAGAAAGTCAGACAAGTCAACTTCTAATGCATATATATATATATATATATATATATATAGAGAGAGAGAGAGAGAGAGAGAGAGAGAGAGAGAGAGAGAGAGATTCCAGTCCTACCTGCCTCTCTGGGGCTGGAGGACATTCTTGTATCATATAGGCATGTCAAGGCATGTGGATGTCTCCTGCTAACCATCTGCTGGAGAGTAAATGACGTGCGAAGGTGAGTGGGAATCAGGCATAATTTTAAAAGCTCATTGACAGTTGAGACCTCCTTCTTGTTGACACTAAGATGAGGCCAGCATTTACATGTCTGAATAGAATCAACACAATATTTCAAATCTCAGATATGACTTTGAATGAGCTCTCTCTGCTGTGATGAACACAAAGATGTAGTCATTGTATGGGGTCAGGAGTCCTTGCATTTGTGTGTATAAAACCTTCTATCATCGGGGGCTGCTTTGTTCCTTTTATCAAATGATAACATAGTAAAATAGCAAGAATTTGAGACTCTTGCTGATCAAGTCCCAGTGACTGTGTAGACAACCGTATAGAACGTTTCACTTGCAGACCCCTGCCTCACTTCACTCCTGGCCTAGAGAACATTCACATGCCTTCCACGGATGAAAATTTCTTGAAAGTCAGATTTGCAAGCAAGTGACCACCTTGTCAGAAACAGAAAATTTATTTTCCTCTGAGTCTTAGAGGAAAATGGCACCTCTACTTTATCAACCCCTACTTGCACAATGCCTTTCTCCCTTTGATTTTCAATCACTGGTTCCAAGTTTCTTTCCCAAGGCTGTCGCTTTCTTAAGCCATAGTGGTTCTATGAAGACCCACATACTCTTCTGTGAAATACTGACCTAGCCTTTGCCTTCAAATGCCTGATTTTACCACTAAAATATTCAACCACGCTAGATGGTATTTAAATTAATTCTCAAACAAAAGACAGCACAAAAATTATTCAGGATATAAAAATTGTTTTTCCATGCTGATTGATTCTCTCACTGTGGACTTCTCTGTAGGAATTTGAGGTAAGTTAGCTCTGTAATGAATCTTGAGACTCACATTGTATGTACATGCACTTCTAGAACTCACATTTACTCTTTCCATGAAAACTATATATAGTAGATATAGTTTTTATGTATATATATGTATAAAACTAAGTTATTGCTGCCAACTAACTTATTTACTTTGATTACCTTATTTTATTCCCGATTATAAATATTTTGCAGCTGCTAGATTTTCTTTTCCAAATAAAGAGTCTTATTGTCAGAGAAGTAGAGGCAATTCACCTTTAAGAACCTCCTCTTACTTTTGTTGAACACCTATCCATCTAAAAAAATTATAATAAGCACCGTTTCACTGTAATGAAAGTCAATGCTGACTGACAGAATTCTACTGTCTATACAAGGAAATTTTTCTTTTAATGCTTTAGTGTGTTTTCTCCCATGTCATGAACAAAGTGTTTATATTTGTATAGATACACAAATACAGGAAAACAAGATTTCATACCTGTAGGCAATAGTTCAATTTGTCCAAACCACTTTGTCTTTATTGCTATTTTTATCTCTAATGTGTTGATGTTTCCCCAGGCCTGTTGCCCATTTGAAGAATAGCAAGCCACACCTAATGACATGAACCTGACCTTCAAGTTTCATTTCCAGTGTTTTTCAGTTAATGGAGGGGTTGTACCATTTTCCTTACATGAGAGTCATATCTCTGTATAGTTCTGGATCTCTCAGGGGCTGGGAGTGGGGAGTGAGAGAACAGCAACCATAGCACTCCAAAAACCCTTTTGGAATTATTCCAGTAATCAGCTATGAAAGTAATTTTCTAAATGTAGATATATGTAAGTCGTTCTTTTAAAGTAAGGTACTTTGAAATATGTAGCATAAAATGGTACTGCTGTTAAATGGGTCGACTATTAAACTGAGCAGCTGTGCAAGGCCAGCTAACTTTGAATGCACACCTTACTTGCCGACGTGTGTCCACCTCATCATGTGAGCACCAAGGCTGCATCAGTGCACATTGGGAGTGCGATTTCACATGCTCTGGCTGCTTGGTCAATCTCAATCTGAGTATCATTAGAACAAGATCAAATGTAAATGAGATTCATGTTCAAGACAATTCATGGCGCACACATGAAACCAGGTCACATTAAGTCTCTCAAAATTCATTTCATGCACACAACAGTCGTTGACTAAGAGAGTTTGGGTGATAAAGGAAACAATTTGCAGAAAAGGCAGAGCTGCATTCATTTCCTTATTTTCTTGACTTGTAAACAGAAAATGAGCCCTCTTTTGTCAGAAGAATCATCAAAGGACAGGGCCGAAAAAATAACTCACTGGTAGCCATCAATGTTTCATTTAAATCCCAGCATTCAAAGTTAGCTGCCTTTTTGAAATAAACAGACAAAATATACTACTGTATGTTTGAAAATGTGAATAGTATTTTTATAGCTTGTTAAAGACATGGCTAGCTGCATTTGTAAATAAGGATAATGTTGCTTTGATTTTCTTCTGTGAACATCTTTATTTGGAACATAATTGTCTTTAGGGTTGATTTGTATATAAGTAATTGGCTTGTGATTGTTTCTTTTTTGGTTGGAAGTTATCATTTTGACATTATCTGTGATTCTGTGTTCAGCACTATTGTGATGTGTCCAACCTCTGCACTCGCTTACACAATAGGATATGCCGATTGTGTGTGGTCAAATGTTATTTTCATTTTTTTCTATGTTATCTATGAAGGATTGTGCACTTAACACATACTAACTTTTTTAATGTTAGGTATATTTTTAGTATAATTTTCTTATTCTTTCTTCTCCTCCAGCCCTTCAACCTCTTCTCCCTCCTTCCCTGTTTTCTGTTGTTATTGAGGACAAGGGAGAAACTGTATTTTAAATTGATGTGATTAGGCTTTTTGAGTTAGTTCTCAAGGATCCTCTTCTGACTCTTGGGAAAGAATTGTGTCTGCACAAGGCACGTAGAGAACGCGACTGCTTTGCCTCATTCCATACTGATCATCCCAGCCGAACAATTTGAAAACTGTTCTGCCTTTTTGTTACATGAATCTGTCAGAAATATATTTTTAATTTAATATAAATGAAATTCAATAAAATACGAAACAAATGTTCTTTCTGTGCTGGAACTTTTTAATAAGAAAAGAATCAGTTGGGGGAGAAACAAGTTTGTTCTGCATTTAATAACCTGTACTAGAGGAGGCTGTTCATTTGTTCCCAGCTGCTTAGACCTGAAATAATCACACAGAAACTATATTATTTAAATCACTGCTTGGCCAATCACTTAAGTGTATTGGTTAACCCATTTCTATTACTTTATGTTTTACCACAAAGCTTGGGGCCTACCAGCAATGTTTCAGCTGGCAGCTTGCGTCTTTCCTCTCTGATGGTTCCATGGTGTCTCCCTGACTCTACCTTCTTTCTCCCAGTATTCAGTTTAGTTTCCCCACTGAGCTCTACTCTGCCCTATCACAGGCCAAGCCAGCTTTTTTATTCATTAACCAATAAAAGCAACACGTATACAGGACTTCCCACACCAGCAACCTGAAGGTGTGAAATTGGCTTTATTTCTGTCTGTGTTTAGAAACCTCATTGATTATCTGTTGCGTTTCCTAGGCTTTCACCATCTCGGCATACACCTACTGACTCGTCAGCATAGGCTGTGTTCAATTAACTGCGATTTGTTTGTTTCATTGGGCTTAAAAAAATATAAAATATTTTTGTAGATGGAATTCAAGTAGCATTTGTTTCCTTTTGCCTTCATTGCAGTTCTAACTGTGGAGTCAAAACCATGGAACTCTAGGAGAGTGATATCAGTCACATAAACCTCTGTATTATCTCTTTTCAGTTTAAGTTTTAATATTAATCCTTCCTGTCTACAAAGTGTAAAAATTTCACAGTTCCAATAATTTCCCATTAGAAGTCTATGTATGTATGTATGTATGCCATACTTACATTATTATGCATCATCTCAAGTAAATCAAGAAATAACAACAAAAAAACCTTTTAACATAATTTATTACAGAAATTTCACTTGAGCATCTTCAGTTCTGACCCTTTGAATATTATTTTAATAAAGCCCTTTTCTGTTTATATAGACATACATACGTACCCTCATAAACACCCTTGGATGTTTTGACCTTTTCATCTGAATCAATCACTGTCAGTTAACTCTGTTGAAGGTGAAATATGTCAGGACACCATGCATTTAGGGCATGTATAGACTGAAGAAAATAAGGAAACAAATTCATTCTTTTGCTTTAGGGTATAATTGAAATTTCTAGTAGTACCATGCTAGTTTATATCACTTCTAACATTTATCAATTTATTAAACCTTATATAATATATAATTTTATTCTCCATATATTGACTCATTTGGCTTGCTATACTCATTTG